ATCATCGAAGCGTACCTTTCCAACAATAGATGTGTCGAGCTCACGAAAGACCCTCCTTTCTCCTGACATGTGGTTGCTTGCTCCAGTATTTAGGAACCAGGAATTTTCAGGTCCAATATTGTCTGGTGGCGGCACTATAGTTTCATTCAACATCACAAAATTAGGCTCTTTGTCATGTGTGGTTTTAATTTCACACGCCTCTATCATCAGTAGTGAAGACTCCTCATCCTTTTGCATCTCTATCAGGTTGAGTTGTTCGTCTTTTGTGGAACACTCTGATGCGAAGTATCCCATTTTCTGACACCTGAAACATTTAATTTTACTTTTGTCAAATCTCTTCTTTTGAGTTTGCGACTCTCCTTCATCTCCTCGATGCTAGTCACTTCTCCCACGGCCTCTCCATCTTCCGCGACCCCGTCCCCTACCTCCTCTGGAACTGCCTTGATCCTTCCATTCTTTCTTTGAGGATTTTGCAGTCTCTCGTTCCTTCCATTCTGCATGAGTGAGGAGAACGGTTTCATCTTTTTCTCCAAACCCTTGCAACCTTTCTTCATGTGCCTTGAGTAATCCAATAATCTCATCAACGGATTTCGTTTTGAAATCACTGAACTCCTCAATCATTGAGGTAATTTGAAGAAACTTTGCAGAGGTGGATCGTAGAAGTTTCTTAGCTACTTGGATATCATCCACAGTGATAAGATAAGGAATCAACTACAAGGAGAGTAAGATTCGGATTACCTTGTTGATCGAATATCTCAAGTCAAGAACACTTTGTTTGAGATTCGAATCACTCCAGAAGCAAGATCGATCATGTCTAGCTTCAATGATTCTAGTTGATCAAATATCTCAAGACAAGAACACTTGATTGAGATTCGAATCACTCCAGAAGCAAGATCGATCATGTCTAGCTTCAATGATTCTAGTTGATCAAATATCTCAAGACAAGAACACTTGATTGAGATTCGAATCACTCCACAAGCAAGATTGATCATGTCGAGCTTGAATGATTCTACATGCAACCTAAACTACATAGAGTTGCAAAGAAACTTAGCCATTGGCTAAAGAAAAGCACAAATGCTTCTTTTACTATATTTTCCCCGTCTTAATACAAATACAACATAGATGGCTTTATATAGCCTCAAAATGAAACTATTAAAGGCATTCCAAAAGTTGTAACATTCACACTTTATGGCCATAATTAGCCATTATGTAATTGTAACCTAAAGTAATTAAATAGTCTTAAAATACATTAATGAAATACAATAACTCTAAATTGTAATCCACCCAAAATTTATCATATGAAACTTTATTCTTCTTCAATGTTGCATGAATTGAAATATCTTTTGATGATTTCAACAATATTTTCTTCACATCTTCATTGAAGCATATGTTATGATTGATGTCTCTTGGTTCATATCACACAGTATTGCCGAGGCCTCTCAATTTGTTGACAATAATGGTGAGTTTTCTAGAATACTCATCAATACTTTCTGAATCACCCATCCTCAACGCTTCAAACTCCCGCCAGAGAGTCTGCGTTCTAACTTCTTTCACTCTTTCCGCACCTAGATTTATATTTTTCAGCATGATCTAGGCTTCCTTGGCCGTTTTCTTGGCACCCAACTGTAGCAACGTATCTTCTCCAATACTTTGATAAATAGCTGCTAAAGCCATCTTATCTTTACGGTTATCTACTGTTTCGGGTGACTCAATTGCCTCCCAAACACCTTGTGCTGTCATAAATACCTCCATCTTAATCGCCCAAGCTGCATAGTTGCATTTTGTCAGCATCGGGTATTTGAATGTGACAGATCCCTCCTTTTCTTGAATCCGTACACTCACCTCATGTGAGGCATCACCTTCTATCGCATCGGTGTTTTGGCTCCTGTCACTCGATTCCTGTCTCATTTTTTTATCTCTCTCCCTTCTTGACTGCTCAATCTCTAAGTGAGACATGATTGAAAACTAGCCTTGATCTTAACGCTCTGATACCAATTGTAAGAAAAAAAACGCAATAGAAGGGGAGAATAAACGAAGACACACAAATTATTTCTTGTTTTTGTGGTGTCTTTCGAGCTTCTCCAGATCCGGGAGTGTGAGGCCCTTACCCACGAAATATGTACCAAAAACGAGGTTAGGGTGAAGGATAAGCTCGGGAATGGGGGCAAAAAAGGGGAAAAAGGACGTCGAGACAACGTTGTCGAGGAGAGAGAGAGATCTCTAGAAAATCGCGCAGGCAGTCGGGCGAAGAGAACAAAGTCCGACCCGAGGTCTGGATTTGGAAACCCAAACCGAACCCCGTCCCTTCGGTCAGCCCAGAACCCACGTTACCCGCAGCCCAAACACCCGGCCTTCACCCGCCAGCCGACCCATCACCCTGCTGCCCGTCAACCGCGAGCCGGCCCATCACTGCGCGGCCAGTCACCCGCGTTCGACTCGAGACCCGCGAGCGACCCGTTAACCCGCGCCTCGACCCGAGATGCCTCCACACGCGTTGCTCTCTGATTGTGCCACGTATCACGTCTGCAGCGCGGCTCCTCTCGGCTCAGGCGGCTTCATCAGCTCGGGGGCGGCTTCTCGGCTCTGGCGGCTTATTCGGCTTAAGAAACTTGTTTCCTGCCCGTTTGACACCGTTTCGACCCTCCCAGACCTGGTTTTGGCCCTATTTAAGGAAAAAGAGAACATTTTAAGGTCGTATTTCACAAATTCCAGTTGGGAATTTATTATTATTTGTGGAATACTAACGGAAGTGACTCATGAACCAATAGGAACCAACCACCAACGGAAGCGTAGAACGTCCACGAGGAGCTAAGAGCTTACGTTATATTCTAGGGAGTACTTCGGCTAAGGCCTACCAAGTAAGTGGCTCACCCGTTGTAGGTTACGCATTAATTGCTGTATGTTGGCATGTGCCCGTGGTTATGCACGTGCCATTAAATTGTATGCTAGCTTAATGTGCTTAAGTACGAAATCATGTGAACGTGAATGTAGGTTATTTATTCTGCTTAGTGGATGTGATATGAATGCATGTGACGATGTGTGACCCGTGTACGATTATGGCTTGTTGTATGAGTATGGGAATGTGATTGAATGAATTGCATGACATGAAATACGGTAAATTGCATGATACATAACCCCGCTAGGAATATGTATGATATGTAACGAAATGAGAATGAGAATGACATGTAAGCATGAAAACGTGACACGGGTTATGCTCATTAAATGATGACTGTAGAACTAGTGGGACCTCATACATATTTTGTGTTCATGCATTTGGGGGGATACCCCTATCCCATCACGAGGGTACGGACGCATACATCCAAATGGCAGGACAACGATCGTTATGCCCTGCATAGCGCTGCTGTGACGGTTTTAGTTTTAACGGGTCCCGATGGGCCCCTAGAGCATGCCCACCAGCTAGGGACAGTGGCCCAGCGATGTGCGAACTAGCTGGTGAGCCCATACTCGCACGTATGGGCTGTGTGTAGAGTATATGGTACACGTCCACGATTACACCGTTGGGAAAACGAAATGAAATGAAACGAAACGAAATGGAACGATAGGTCCCATCATTTCATTGCATGTGTTTGTGCATAACCCCGATAGGGGGTCACTTACTGAGTATTCTAGAAATACTCAAGCCTCGTGCTACTTTACTATTGCAGATAAGGGCAAGGCACCCATGTGACAACGACGACGGCATCGGACACCTCAGGATCGTGGCACATGCATAGGGTAGTTGGTTGTTTTTTTTCCATTTCTAGTATAGGTTAGAATAGGATGAAATATATTTGCATAATAAACCTTAGGGTAGAATAAACTATTCATTCTTGGTTTTATTGCTTTCCCTTTCTTTCAATAATGTTTCCCTTTTTCCCTTGTAATCTTTTTTTTTTTTTGAGGTAATAAAAATGCGAGTGCGAAAAGCATTTATGAATAGGGTCCATTAAATGTATATTCCGTATTTCAAAGTATGGTAATGACCTTAGATTAAATAGGTAAAATATTATGGTCGTTACAGTTGGTATCAGAGCCAAGTTATAGATCTTGTAGACTAGCCTACAGAGTAGGCTTGGCATGTTCCACGGTCCAATTACCGATGCCCCGTCGTTGCCAGGTACACCTTATATAGAATGAGGAATGTATGACATGCGTGATGTATTTAATGTGGTTGGCTTTAAATCATGCATGACATGTTACTGTATGAAAAAAGGTTGATGTTATCTGATGTTGATGTGATTTGATGTAATGCATGTCTTTATGTTACGATATTTATGTTTTTCTTTTATATGTATGTATACATATGAATTATATGGTAGGATGTAGGGAATGTTGTAAATCATAATCTTAGCTAGAATCCTTTCTTGGTTTCTAGAACCATGCCACACAGAGGACGTAGAAGAGGTAGGAGAGGGAGGGGACGACCTCCCATTAGGAGAGGAGGAAGAGGAGACGCCGATAGAAGTTCTTACCAAGAGGGGTCGACTACCGGCCCATATGCGTTTGTACCCCCTCCTGAATATGCACCTCCTCCACAAGCTGTACCCCCTCCTGAATATGCACCTCCTCCACAAGCTGTACCCCCTCCTGAATATGCACCTCCCCCACAAGCTGTACCCCCTCCGGAATATACACCGCCCCCTCAAGCTGCACCACAGACCAGGTTAGACCTCGCCACAAAGTTACTGTTGGAATCTCTTCAAAAAAATATGCAAACCATGCTAGACACACAACAGGCCACATTGTTGGCTACGCAACAAGTCGCGGCAATAGCCACGCAACCAGCTAACGCGATGGCCACGCAACCAGCCAACGCGATGGCCACGTAACAAGCCAACGCGGCGGCCCCACAACCGGTGGATGCGGTAGCTATCCAACCGGTAAACAACCCGCACCCGAATAGGGGCGCGAGTTGGTTAAAGGATTTCAGGCGGTACAACCGCCGTCCTTTTGTCGGTTCAAAGGAAGATCCCACAGCGGCTCAGATGTGGATCGCAAACATGGAAACAACCTTTGAATCAATGAGATGCCCTGATGAACATAAGGTGGCATGTGCAACATACGTGTTACAAAAAGATGCAGAACTGTGGTGGTCGGATAACAAACAGAGCATCAACCCGAGCGGGGGAATTACAACATGGGAGACCTTTAAGGAAGCCTTTCTAAAATACTATTATCCAAAGGAAACCCGTATAAAGAAACAGCAAGAGTTTAACCACTTAACCCAAGGTGATCGCACGGTGGATCAGTACGATCAGGACTTCATGAGATTGAGAAGGTTTACACCGTCTTTAGCCGATACTGAAGAGAAACAGACAGAAAAATTTGTGTTAGGATTGAATCCGAAAACCCGCCGCATGTTAGAGGCCTTTAACCCAAAAACCAATGAAGAAGCCCTAAGGACGGCTAAGGCCCTAGAGGAACCCTCAGAGGAAAAGAAAACAGAGCCAACGGTCGCCACGGGGAGGAAACGCCCCGTCGAGGTCGATACCACAGAGTTCCAACCACCGTTCCATAGACCTCGATATTAGAGAATGCCACCTGCTCCACCTCCAATAGGTCGACACCTAGCAATGGAGAAGCCCCTATGCTGTAACTGTGGAAAGCAACATGTTGGGAGATGTTTGGCAGGCTCAGGTATGTGTTATATCTGTGGTCATGTAGGTCATGTGGCCAGAACTTGTCCTACAAAGAGCCCGGGAATTCCAAGGGAACCCCTTAGAGGACCGGTCATCCGAGAGCCCACCTTACAAACCCGTCCATAGACCAAGGCATATGTAACGACCAGTAAAGAGGCGGGAACATCTGGCACCGTGGTGACAGGTACGCTTTCTATACTAGGACACTTTGCGTTGACAATGTTTGATTCTGGTTCTACCCATTCCTTTGTTGCTTTACCATTTGTTAAACAAGCAGGGTTCGTAGTAGAACCCTTAATGCATGCATTGTCGGTCGGTACCCCAGCAGGGGTAGACCTAGTTACGAAAAATAGAGTAAAGGACGGACAAGTGGTAATAGCTGGAGAAACCATCCACGTAGACTTAAAGGTAGTGGATATGACGGATTTTGACGTCATATTAGGAATGGACTGATTAGCAGAAAACTTTGCTACCATAGACTACCATAAGAAGGAGGTGATATTCACACCTCCCAACAGACTTACCTTTAAGTTTAAAGGAACCTCCACAGGTACCACCCTAAAAATAATATCGATGATGAAAGCGAGATGCTTGATACAACAAGGGGGGTGGGCGTTTCTAGCCTGTGTAGTAAATACAAAAGGAAAGGAAAACCCATAGATACAGTACCCTTAGTAAACAAATTTATGGATGTCTTCCCAGAGGACCTCCCGGGAATTCCTCCATCGCGAGAGGTAGACTTTGGAATAGATCTGGAACCAGGAACGAGACCCATCTCTAAGGCCCCATACTGCATGGCACCAGCAGAACTAAAAGAGCTTAAAACACAACTGCAAGACCTGCTAGATAAGGGCTTCATTCGACCTAGCGTGTCCCTTTGGGGTGCGCCAGTGTTGTTTGTTAAAAAGAAAGACGGTTCAATGCGTTTATGCATTGATTATAGGAATTAAACAAGAGGACGGTAAAGAACAAATACCCGTTACCCCATATTGAGGACCTATTTGATCAACTACGTGGGGCGACAATGTTTTCTAAAATAGATCTTCGATCAGGATACCATCAAATTAAGATTAAAAATGAAGACATACCGAAAAAAGCCTTTTGAACAAGATATGGCCACTATGAGTTTGTGGTGATGTCTTTTGGTCTCACCAATGCCCCAGCGGTATTTATGGAACTAATGAACCGAGTATTTAAGGAGTGCCTAGACTCGTTTGTGATCGTGTTCATAGACGATATCCTAATATACTCGAAAACGGACCTAGAACACCAAGAGCACCTTCGCCAAGCCTTAACTATCCTAAGAGAGAACAAGCTGTATGCCAAATTCACCAAGTGTGAATTTTGGCTACGACAGGTTTCGTTTCTGGGGCACATAGTGTCTAAAGACGGAATCTTCGTAGATCCCAATAAGATAGAAGCAGTCACGAAATGGAAACGCCCAACAACGGTCACTGAGATACGAAGTTTCTTGGGATTGGCGAGTTACTATCGAAGGTTTGTCCAGGATTTCGCTAGAATAACCACGCCTCTCACCCAATTGACAAAAAAAAGGTGTACCTTTTGTTTGGGACGATACTTGTGAGACCAACTTTCAAGAACTAAAACAAAGACTAGTATCCGCCCCAGTGCTCAGAGTTCCAGAAAGTTCTGTGGGATATGTGATTTACAGTGACGCGTCCAAAAAGGGATTAGGTTGTGTACTGATGCAACATGGCAAGGTGGTTGCGTATGCGTCACGCCAACTAAAAGATTACGAGAAAAACTATCCTACACATGATTTGGAGCTGGCAGCAGTGGTGTTCGCGTTAAAAATTTGGCGACACTACCTGTATGGCGAAAAGACCCAGATCTACACGAACCACAAAAGCCTAAAATATTTGTTCACCCAAAAAGAATTGAACATGAGGCAACGTAGATGGTTAGAGCTGGTAAAAGATTACGACATAGACATCCAATACCATCCTGGAAAAGTAAATGTAGTCGCTGATGCATTGAGTCAAAAAGCAGTACACTCGTCAGCCCTCATCACTAGGGAGCCATGAGTGCAAACTGATTTCGAACAGGTTGATATCGCGGTAGTAACCAAAGAAGTTGTCGCCCAAATAGCCCGACTGACAGTGCGCCCCACGCTCAGACAAAGGATCATAGACTCACAACGTGGGGATCCAGGCCTAAGTAAAATCCTAGACCAATTAGAAGTTGGCCCAGTGGACGGATTCACTAAATTAACGGATGACGGATTATTATGCCAAGGGCGTTTATGTGTCCCACCCATGAGCGTAATAAAAAATGAAATCCTAACAGAGGCACACAACTCAACCTTCTCGATACATCCAGGTGGAACAAAGATGTATCAAGACTTGAAACAACACTTCTGGTGGCGAAGTATGAAGAAGGATATCGCGGAGTACGTGAGTAAGTGTCTAGTGTGCCAACAAGTAAAAGCCCCTAGGCAGAAAACCGCTGGGCTACTACAACCTCTAAGTATACTGGAATGGAAATGGGAAAACATTGCCATGGATTTCATAGTAGGCCTACCCAAAACATTAAAGAGCTATACGGTAATCTGGGTGGTCATGGACCGCCTGACAAAGTCGGCTCACTTCCTACCGGGTAAGGCAAAATATACAGAAGACAATTGGGCACAACTGTATGTTAAAGAAATTGTGAGGTTGCATGGAGTACTGGTGTCAATTGTGTTGGATCGGGACCCGCGTTTTACGTCGACCTTTTGGCGCGGACTCCAAAAAGCGATGGGTACCCGCCTCGACTTTAGCACCGCCTTCCACCCACCAACGGATGGCCAAACAAAACGATTAACCAAATTCTGGAAGACATGCTTCGGGCATGCGTTATGGATTTCACAGGGAGTTGGGACACCAAACTGCACTTAATGGAATTCTCTTACAATAACAGCTTCCAAGCAACCATCGGGATGGCACCCTTTGAAGCGTTGTATGGAAAACGATGTAGATGTTGAGTTATGGAGTCTGCTCCCTGTATTTATAGCTTGGTCAACGGCTATATCCGGTAAAGCTATATATGGTAAAGCCATATATGGTAAAGCTATATCCGGTAAAGCTATATATGGTAAAGCCATATATGGTAAAGCTATATCCGGTAAAGCTATATATGGCACATAGCTATATATAGTAGATGGCTAAATCTAGTAAAGCTATATTTAGTAGACTGAACCATATATATATCCCGTCCAGTAAAGCTTTGAAATGTACTTTTCTATTCTCTGTACTCTCTCTTGTTGTACATACCTGAAGTCATCAATACAAAAAAAAAATCCTTTTAGCCAGAGTTCTCCTTGCAACTTTTCTCTATCCTTTTCTTTGTGTTCATCTAGATCAAGCGTGTGCGTTGTTGTGCGATCCTAACAACTGGTATCAGAGCTAAAGACTGATATCGATCCTAACAACTGGTATCAGAGCCAAGCGGTGTCAGAGCAGGCAAAATTCACCACGATCTGTGAAGATGGAAAGTTCAAAGATTGGAATTGAGAAGTTCGATGGATCCGATTTCGGTTTCTGGAAGATGCAGATTGAAGATTATCTGTACCAGAAAGATCTTCACGAACCTCTGTTGGGGGTGAAGCCGGATACCATGACCACGGAACAGTGGAAGCTCAAGGATCGACAAGCCTTAGGGATGATCCGGTTGACGCTATCCAGAAACGTGGCGTTTAACATCATCAAGGAGAAGACAACGTCAGATCTGATGAAGGCGCTGTCAAATATGTATGAAAAACCGTCGGCTATGAACAAGGTGTATTTGATGCGTAGATTGTTCAATCTACAGATGTCTGAAGGTGGACGTGTTGCGGATCATATAAATGAATTCAATATGATCATAAGTCAACTGGGTTCTGTGGAAATTAATTTCGAAGATGAAATTAAAGCGTTGATTTTGATGTCATCCTTACCCGAGTCATGGGATACTGTTGTTGCCGCAATCAGCAGTTCCCGAGGATCTGATAAACTAAAGTTTGATGAAATTCGAGATGTAGTTCTCAGCGAAAGTATTCGCAAACGGGAAACTGGAGATTCATCAGGCAATGCTCTCAGTGTTGATCGAAGGGGAAGAAGCAAATCAAAGAGCTCAAACAAACATGGGCGTTCAAAATCAAAGAACCGGGGAAAATCTCCAAACAAACCCAACGTAACGTGTTGGAACTGTGGGGGAAAAGGACACTTTCGGACAGATTGTACAAAATTAAAGAAGAAGCAGAATCATAAATCTGAAGATGATGATGATTCTATATACACAACAAAAGATGCTGAGGACGTTTTAATCCTTAGTGTGGATAGCCCAGCTGAATCCTGGATTTTGGATTCAGGTGCATTGTTCCATTCGTCTCCAAGTAAGGAATTGTTTCGAAATTTCAAATCAGGAAATTTCGGAAAGGTGTATCTTGCCGACAACAAAACCTTGGAGATTGAAGAAAAGGGAGATGTGTCCATACAAACTCCAGCAGAAAATCAATGGACATTACAAGATGTCAGATACATTCCTGGTCTCAAGAAGAACCTGATCTCTATTGGTCAGTTGGATAGCACAGGCTATGCAGCAGAGTTTGGAAAGAGTTCCTGGAAGATTGTGAAGGGCGCCATGGTTGTTGCGCGTGGCACAAAATCCGGAACCTTATACACTACTGCTGAGTGTATAAACATGACTGCTGCTGCTGAGAGTGCTTCCAATTCAAGTCTATGGCACAATAGACTTGGACATATGAGCGTCAAAGAAATGAAGATGCTGTCTGCGAAAGGAGCTTTAGAAGGCTTAAAATCTGTTGATATGGGTCTTTGTGAGAGCTGCGTTATGGGCAAACAGAAACGAGTTAGTTTCACAAAGGCTGCCAGAGAACCGAAGAAAGTGCGGTT